TGGTGTAATAATGGGTGGGTCATAATTTTTAGCAGCAGAAGTCTACAATTTAAGTCGTCACCAGCTAAGGTCCTGAGCAACTCAAAAGTCTTAAGTGTGAGTCACTTCAAATACAAGACCCTAAAAGCTCCTGATGTTCTTCGAAGTTGTGGTTCAGGCTTTCAGTTACATTCAAGGGAGAGTTGCTGTCACCAGGCACCTTGGACTGGTCTAGGCCCTGCTGCAAGAGCAACACCTGAGCAGATGGGTCAGAAAGTATCCAAGGGTCACCATTTGTTTAATTGTAAAATCTCCATCCCAGAAGGAGCTTAAGCATTATTGCCTTAAATGCATCCTGTGTTGGAGCATATTCCTGTACGAAATTGTGCTCACCCCTATATGTGCTGACAATAACTTTTCTCTGATTCATTTGTCCCTAAAATAAAAGATAGACGTTTCTCCTGTTCGTGGAAAAACATCTTTGGATATTATTCCCCATAGTTTCTTTCTTTGCTGCAAGTAAATTACTTTGTATGAAAACTCCTTTGTGAATGGAATAAAATTTTTTGGGACTTGTCATGAATTAGGCCCACAGGTGAGTCATGAATTTGTTCAAGTAAATCAATTTAAAATTTTATTTGTGTATTTATTTTCATTTTATTTGAAAAAGAGGAAGTCAGATCTTCATATTCTGCTCACTCCCCAGAAGCCCACAACTACTGCAGCAAGGAGCCAGGAACCCAATCCTGGTCTCTCAGTTGGGTGTCAGGGACTACTTGAGCCTTCACCTGTTGTCACCCAGGGTGTGCATCGTCAGGAAGCCAGAATGGCACCCAGACACTCTCATATGTGATGCAACTGTGCCAAACCACTCTACCAAATGCCAGTCCCCTTGGTCAAGCGTTTTCTGTCTGTACATTCTGGGTCAAGTTAATTAAACCTTCAATGGTTCTTTCTCTGAAAAATGAAACAATGGTTAAGTATTTGGTGCAGGAGTTAAGATGCTGTTTGGAAAACCCACTTCTCATATTGGACTGTCTGGGTTTGAGTCCTGGCTTTACTCTCAATGCTTACTGAAAACATGCACCCTGGGAAGCAGCCACGGATGATTCAAGTGCTTGCCTTTAAATAAATAAAAATGTCAGGAAATAGTGCATGCCTCATGGAATTGTTGAACCATTTAACTTACTTAAAATGTCTAATTTAATAGGAGCAAATGTGAGGGCTAAAACAATACTAGTTCCTCTGTCCCTGAAGGGTACCTGTGCCCATTCTTCTGAAGTAGTGGTGCCATTTATCTCCTTTGCAGAATCTTTTCCATTTTGTCAGTCTAATCACTTGGGATGTCTTCAATCCTCTATTTTCAGTCCTTTTAATTTCATGCCTGAACTATTTCAATAGTCTCTTAACTTGTCTCTGATCGTCAGGTTCTTCCCCCTCCCATCTCTCTTGTTCACTGTTGCCAGACTAATCTTTCCAAGTGTCATTCTGACCCTGTTACTCTGCAGCTTAAATACATTTAAGAGATTTCTAACAAATACAAGGAAAACTCAAAACTGCTCACTGACACAGCAGACTAGACCTCAGAGTAATCTGAAGCATCTAGCATCTGTTTCTTAGTATCTGTTAAATTCCAGGTGCTTTCTTGCATTTTCTCTAATCATTAAAACGATATGGCTAGACAGACATTATTTTCATTTTAAAAACAGGAAATGGAGAATCAGAGACATTTGGGGATGAGATCAAATTCATCATGGGGGAGGGGAGTCTGAACTCATATCTGTCACTGTTTGCCTTTAAAATTTGTGTCCTTAATCATCACACACTAACATACAAGCAATTGTATTCTCCCCATATGTGTCTGTGTGTGTATTTCATGCAGTTCTAATTGTTTTGTGACATGATGGTATCTATGAGGAGACTGAGCTCCCAGCATGGAGGAACTCTCTTTTCTTCACTGCATCTCTTAACCCCACCAAAAGGGATCGAAGGGCACATTCCATCAAGATTGGATATTGAACGAATGGGTGAGTTACTCAAAGATGGAAAGGAAACATTAGAAATTATCTCAGTGGGCTTTAAGGGCACTGAGCAACATGAGTGCAGTGTGGTTAACCTTATTTTGAAGATGGAGAAGCCTGTTGAAAGTATGAGACTATATATGAAGATCAAATGATAGATTGAGGGCGAAAATAATGATACCTTGCTTCTCTTTGCACTACAGTGGCCCAACATTTTTCTAAATAAAACCATGCATTCAGTTTTGCATATCATTGTGGAACAGTCTATACGAAATAGTAATTGTGAAATGAATTAGACTTCAATTCCCTGTGGATTTTATATGAACTAGTAACTTCATTACTTAAGGGTGGGTTCCAATTTCAGCTTTGTTTTAGGACGATAGAATATCATCTGCCAGTAAAAACACTAATAAATTTTATTGCCCAGTTATGTCACTCAAAGTCTAATCCTGACCCTTTAGAAAACATTCTCATTCAAGATTTAAAAACTGTGGAGCCGGCATTGTGGAGCGGTGAGTCAAGCCAGCACCAGCATACCATGTTGGTATGCCGGCTTCTGTACTTCAAATTCAGTTCCCTAGTGCTGTGCCTAGGAAAGCAGAGGAAGATGGTCCAAGTAGTTGGGCCCCAGCTGCCCAAGTGGAAGACAGGGATGGAGTTCCTGGCTCCAGCCTGGCACATTCCTGCCTGTTGTAGCCATTTGGGGATTGAACCAGCAGATGGAAGATCCATCTCTCTGTCGCTCTTTAGAATATATAAGCTTTAATTAACTTTCAGTATGTCTATGTGTGAGAGAATGAGAGAGAAAGAGGAAAAAATCAAATTCTATTTGGGTGGCTAAGGAATGATGAGGTCATTTCTGTGTTTAGCATTTATAATGTGTTATAAAGAATAATTTCATATCGCAAGTCAATAAAGTCTAATCAAAAGAATTTAGTCAGTCCACTGACAGTAATATTTGAAGAGATAAGATAGGAATAAAGGGATATTCAGCATAACCTCTAATAAAAGATAAGTTAAGGCTTAAAAATATGCAATTAAAGCACACCCCCACGTACACACAGCAGTGGATTGCTGCAGCTTTGTGTCTGTCAATTTTTCTTGTGCTACAGAATTGGCAATGAACCTCTCACCATTCTTCACCTTTCAGCAGCACAATCATTAGTTAGTAAGTAAGGCAAAACTGCCCTGGAAAACCAATTAATGCTAGTTAAGCAGAGAAATGTTGGCATTAACCTTAACTCAAATGCAGTTCCCTGTTTGGTTTGGTGTATTTGAGGATAGATAAAGGACAGAAAAAGACAAAGGTTAAAAAGAAAGATAAGTAAAAAGGTAATGATAGAAACAGAAGTAAGAGATAGATTTGGTTTTTATTGAGACTCGTTAATTCAATTTCAGGCACTGTAGTTTAGATTATTGATTATTTTAAACCATAAAGAGTAAATAGGGTAAAAATACTATCTAGCAATAATAGTTATTTATCATAGTTATAAAAATGATTTCACTTACTTTATTAAGTAAGCTTCCATTCTCTTTATGAAAGATAGTACATGTCTGCATTGCTATATAATTGGTTTCGGCTTCTAGCCATCTGACAAAATTAATTACTACTCGTCTGTGTTGTGGCCCTAGGAGAAGTTCCAGTATCTACAGAATTTAGTTTGGAGCAGGTCTATCATGTAGTAAGTGGGAGAATAAAATTTTATGCTTCCCTTTTGCAGAAATATGATCAGTTTCTACTATGGAGGCAGTAAAATTTATCTTTTCACCTAAAATATCTGCATTAATTTCCATATAAATGCAAAATAATTAAAAATATTTACAAATTGCAGGTCTCTTATATACATTCTTGAAATTAGGTCTGTGTGTTTCAACAAGCAAAATGTTTCTTTCTAACTGGAAACAAGAATGTGATGTTTTTAGAAATAAGAAAATCTTCACATGAAACCCTTGGGAAAAAGGATAACACAACTGTTAGCTTAGAGTGACCATGTATGTAATTTATCATCAAACTCAGAAACTCTAGAGAGGAAAGAATAGACTACTAACACTGGGAACTACATGAGCTTGCCATATTTAGGACAAAATGGTCAAATATTGACAATTTTATATAGTCCAACCTGTACTTACTAAGGGACAAAAGGAAAAAGGTAGATTGTCCCAAGCAAAGTGGAATGTATACATAGCTTTTCCTTCTAGACTCATTTTAAATCATATTCTACAGATAGCTTCTTTAAGGAACACAATCATATGAGACTTGCTTTGAGCTAATTCCTCATATGTGCTTAAGGAATCCATCACCATTTGACATTTTTTTATTATTTACTTATTTGAAAGGCAGAGTGACAAAGATCTTCTATGCACTGGCTCACTCCCCAGATGACTCCAACAGCTAGATCTGGAACAGGCAGGACCCTGGCCCTCTATATCAGTCTTCTACATGGGTGATAGGGGCACAAGCACTCAGGTCAAGAAATCAGAGCAGCCGAAATTTGAACCGGCACTGTTATATGGAATGCCAGTGTGACAAGTGGTGGCTTTAACCAGCTGCACACAGGTTGGGCCCACATTGCTCACTTCTGTGCATTTATTTTCAATGTATAAATGGCAAATATAATAGCGTGTATCTGATATTTTCACGTAGTACCATTTCCAGTCTAAAGCAAACCTGCTTCCATTGCTTGTAGCCCATATATCTGTTTGCATACCTATGAAAGTACTTCAAAAAGTTCAAGGAAATGGGAATTAAAAGATGTTTATGTTGTTGCAAAAAAATTTTTTTGACAGGCAGAGTAGTCAGTGAGAGAGAGAGACAGAGACAAAGGTCTTCCTTTGCCGTTGGTTCACCCTCCAATGGCCGCCACGACCAGCGCATCACACTGATCCAAAGCCAGGAGCCAGGTGCTTCTCCTGGTCTCCCATGGGGTGCAGGGCCCAAGGACTTGGGCCATCCTCCACTGCACTCCGGGCCACAGCAGAGAGCTGGCCTGGAAGGGGGGCAACCAGGACAGAATCCGGCACCCCAACCGGGACTAGAACCTGGTGTGCTGGCGCCGCAAGGTGGAGGATTAGCCTACTGAGCCGCGGCGCCGGCGGCAAAAATTTCTGAAATCATGATAATATTCTTTTACCAGGAAATTTTTGAAGATTTCAAATGTTTTGTACCAACATAAACTTTTGTTTTTCTTTGAAAAATATTTACAGAGATAAGAGTGTGTGTGTCACGTGCATATACCCACAAAAGCCATGGGTGGGCCAGGCCAAACCTGAGTGTCAGGAATTCAGTCCATGTCTCTTAGATGGATGGTAGAGATCTTTAAACCATCATCTGCTGCCTCCTAGGGTGTGCATTAGCAGAAAGCTAGAATCAGGAACTTAGCAGGCACTCTGATATGAGGTATAGGTGTCTGTTGTTTGTTTTTTATTTAATAATTATTTATTTATTGGAGAGAGAGAGATTTTCCCATCCACTGGTTCACTCCCTAAATGGCTACAACAGCCAGGGCTGGGCCAGGCTGAAGTCAGGAGCTTCTTCCAGGTCTCCCACAAGCATGCACGGGCCCAAGCACTTGAGCCATCTTTGACTGCTTTCCCAGACCAGTAGCAGGGAGCTGGATTGGAAGTGGAGTAGCCAGGACTCAATCAGTGCCCATATGGGATGCTGCCAGCACAGGCAGAGGCTTAACCTGCTAACCTGCTTTTCCCACATCATAGTATGGCTTGGTTATATAGTTAATACAGGATTCCCAAGTGGGACTACTTCAAGATGTGAGCCAGAAAAACTCATATCCCAGAGTGTCAAATAAGACAGTATGTGGGTTAAGTGGGGCTCCCAAAACAAAGACAACCAAGTACCATAGACCAAGTGGATTAATTTTTTTTTTCAAAATTCTAGAAGGTAGATGTCAAAGATTAAGGTGTCAGCGGACCTGGTTTCTTCTGAGAGCACTGTGCTTGGTTTGCAGGTGAGATGGCTGGCTGCTTCTGTGTGTTCACATGGACTTCCTTTTGTGCTTGTCTGTGCCCTCTGAGAAAAAAATATGTATGTGCATATGCATTTCATCTTATAAAGACACCAGTATGTTGGATTAGGATCCACTCCGATAACTTAATTTTTAGTTTAAAAATCTTTCAAAAGACTCAGTCCAAATGCAATCTTGTTTTGAGGTATTGGAGGGTAGGGTTTCCACATAGGAATTTGGGGGAACAGAGAAAGGTAAATAATTCGGTGTATAATAGGTTGTATACGCATTCCAGTGAACTTTGTGATTCAATTTGAAAATCTCTCAGCTTTCATCCCTAAGTCTAATTTTCAGAAACAGTTATCTGAACTCCTAGAAGTAGATTGGCAATTACCATTCAACTGGCAGAATGGCTAGTATCAATAAGAGGAAAGATAAAAATAAGAATCTGTTGAAAATGGAACCATTGTATTCAATTTGTGGAATAAACAGATAACCACCAGCCAATTTTTGATTGCAAATAGGTCATTTGAAATCTGCTTTGACGTGTAGCTGCAGATATATCTCACAAGAAAAATTATTTTAATAAACCAGTGGGAATTTTATGTAGCCACTGCTTCTTGCAGTTAGTATTTAACACTAGCAAGAAAGCTAGAATGATAGGGTTCTGGATTTGAATGCTATTTCCATGACAGTGTACTTGTAAATAACTAATTTTTACTTGTCTTTACAAGAAGATAATTGTGTCTGCTTCCAAGAACTGTTTTGAGAACTGAATTAACTGAAATCTTAAAACAATGATAGTCTCCTTTCTTGCATTTAATTTGAGCAATATTTAGTGTTCTAAAACTTAAAACCGAAACTAGTTTCCAAAGATACCTCTTTAACACAGGCCTTGGGAAAATCCAGCTCGGCATTTAGAACAATAATATCATCCAATATTGTGGCTGAGAAGCAGAAACATTGCCTGGGTGGTAGAAATCCAGTGATCAGGACACATGTTCATAGAGATGGCCAACAGGGAAATGGAATTACATTTGACAGGGACATCTGGGAAATACATTCATGCAGCTATACAAATTTCAGTAGTTAAGGAAATGATCATTTTGGCTTATTATCAAATAAAGAAATGGACTGCCATGAACCTGTCCCCATCACAACCGTAATGTGTTCCATTTCTTAGGAAAAGTTCCCTGAGAGATTGATATGAAATTCTGTGCTGAAGAAATATAACAGAAAGTCTCCAACTTCAGTCTTTGAGTATTGACCCTGAAAGTGTTACATAGTAATAAAAGAATGTCAGTAAGGAAAATGCAATTTGACTTGCAAACTAAAATCTAACATATAACATTGTCTAGAAAAAGCATCTCCAAAGGAAAGATTATCTTCTATTCCTGATTGTCAGTTTTCATCCCATAGTAATTTTTATTTATAAACATTTGAAAGTTGACTATTACAATGGTTTAATATAACCTATGTTGTGTCTGAATGACTCACTATAATACATTCTCTATTTGCATGGTACTTTCAATGCAGTTTTATGCGTGGCTCCTTTTCTGTTTTGTTAGTTTCAGTAAAGTACTGCTTTAAATGCACATTGGGATTTAAAACAAAGGAACCTTTTGAGATAAACTAAAAAGATATGTTACTTATTTCAGCAGAGTAAACGGAATATACATAAGTTGATAAAAATTCACTTATCCCTTTTAAATATGTTTTCAAAACAAGGCATTTGTTTCAGTTCCTCCAGAACCAAATAGTTTTATCTCTTTAAAGATTTTTTTTTAAATCATGGAAAATGCTTTAACTTACTCGTGTGCAGGTTTCTATAGAAGAGAAGACAGTCTTTTTTTCTCTCTAAATTCCATTTAATAGAGGGGGAGTATTTAGCCTTGTTAGTTTTCTTCGCTGTGTTAAGAAAAAAAAATGAAATCATTCCATGCAGTGAATGCACAAAATAATTACTAATTGTTGAAACTATAACCCTAAGGTGGAAACATGAAATAAGTAGTTCATTGAAATTAACATTGTATTAGAACGCTTTAGTTATAAATCAGATAATACATGATCTAACTTTGCAAGGTAAAAATTTATTCAAAAAGATGCACATATCACTATTCAAATGTATTTGTATAAAGACTATTAAAGGCCAGCGCCGTGGCTCACTAAGCTAATCCTCTGCCTTGCGGCGCCGGCACACCGGGTTCTAGTTCCAGTCGGGGCGCCGGATTCTGTCCCGGTTGCCCCTCTTCCAGGCCAGCTCTCTGCTGTGGCCAGGGAGTACAGTGGAGGATGGCCCAAGTACTTGGGCCCTGCACCCCATGGGAGACCAGGAGAAGCACCTGGCTCCTGCCATTGGATCAGCACGGTGCGCCGGCCGCAGCGCGCTGGCCGCAGCGGCCATTGGAGGGTGAACCAACGGCAAAGAAAGACCTTTCTCTCTGTCTGTCTCTCTCACTGTCCACTCTGCCTGTCAAAAAAAAAAAAAAAGACTATTAAAAAGGTATCTTGCTGCTTATGTATAATACTTTATTGAAAACATCCTTGTCATTCACTCTTTGGTTAATCCTATATATGGAGAGAAGCAACTGTAAATGTGCCTTTCATAGTAGCTATAATGAGAAATACAACATAAAGGAACCAACACCCTTTGATTTCTATAGCGCCTCAGTCACTAACACAGTAAGATTATAAAACATACATACTTACAGAATGAATAAAAACCTAGAAAAACGAGAGAGAACATTATAAGTTAGTTAAAACACTCTACTTTTGCAAACTTCTTTGTTGTTGTTTATTGATTTTGGGGACAATAACTTTTTTTTGATAGATTTTCCACCTGCAGGCTCACTCTTCAATTGGCTGCAATGACCAGGGCTTCTTCCAGGTCTCCCACATGAGTTGAGGGGCCCAAACACTTGGGCCATATTTTACTGCTTCCCCAGGCATTTTAGCAGACAGCTCTCATCACAGGCAGAGCCGGTCCTTTTAATTATATTTTTGATATTTTAAGACAATACTTGACAACACACGGCTTACAAATTCAGTAAGCACATGTGTAAGAAGAGAGTGGAGTGAAATAATTGCAATCTTTAGAACATAAAAACCACTAACCTAGAATTCTGTACCATGAAATTATACTAAACATATAAAAGATAAATCAAAACTTCCTTAAACAAAAACTGAAGGAATTTGTTACTAGCAGACCTGTCTTTCAAGAAATGTTAAATGATTTACAGAGAAGATAGAAGAAAAGTAATATAGTTCAGAAAACAGGTGAATATAAAGAAGGGAGGAAAACCAAAGAAGAAATAAAAGTTCTTTCAAAATACTAGCAACAATGAATTTTTTATGTACATCTTAGCTATATATTTGTTAGGTATGTTTAGACAGAAGTAACATTGTTAACAGTAATAACAGAAGAGGGAGGGAGAACTAAGGATTAAATACTATATATGAAATGATACAGTAATCTTTGAAATTTGGCATGAATAGTACTGTATTATGTAAGAACCATTAAAAGTTTTATAAGAAGTATGACCAATATATAAATAAAGAGGAGAAAATAGACTCATATAAAATGTGGTAACTATTAATCCAGGTATATCAAGAATCCCTTTGGGCATCAATGGTCTAATTACACTAAAGGCAGAGATTATTAGGGTAGAACAAAAGGAAGCAGCAGTATAAATTTCAGACAAAGCAAACTATTATACAAAGAGATTTCAAATTCCTCTACCAAAAAGGACATATCCATTGGGCATAAAATGAATAGGGATATGGTTGAATTTAAGTCTTTATCCCCAAATAGAAAAATATACATTAGTTTCAAGCTCACAGGGAACATTTAAATTACATAAAACAAGAGGAGAACATTTTGAACTAAGTGAAAATGCAAACACACTATGTGATGCGCAAAATCAGTAAAGAGAAATTTATAGGTTAAGAAAGAAGAATTAACAAATAATAATTTTCACCTGGGGAGCCAAGAACAACAAATTAAATCTAAAATAAGAAAATACATAAATAGTGGAGAATTAAATAATGAATTAAAAGCAGAAAATGAAGAGGAGTCATGAAAAGCTGGTTCTTTGAAAAGATCAATAAAATCCATAATCCTTTAGCTATGCTAAATAAGACAAGAGGTGACACACGTTTTTAATATCTAGAAATTAAAGAACAGACATCACTTATATATCAGAAGGATAATGAAAAGAAACACTGATCAATCCTATGCCCACAAATTTCACACTAGGAACAGATAATCTGAATAACTTATGTACTACATACAGACCTAAACAATTAATAGCCCTCCATCACTAGACCCGATGGTTTCATTGATTATTTCTCTCCAAAATTAAGAAATTATGTAACATGTTTCGGTAATTCCTTTTAAAGAGAATAGAAATAAAAGTATTATGTTCTGACTCATTCTTCGAGGTCTGTGTTACCTTAATACTCAAACTAGAAAATCACAAATGTCTCTTATGAACTATTTGTAGATCCAAAGTCTTCAACAGAATGTTAGGGAATAAATCCATAAATTTCTAAGTAGTATTATATACCATGACTAACATTCATCTCTGGTATGCAAACCTGGTTCAACACTTGGATATCAATGAAGATAACCAATTACATGAAGAAGCTAAGGAATATTGTAATACTTAAGTGTTAATTAATAAATTACATGGGAGAGCTATATGAGGGATATATTGAACTACAATAAATGTAAAATGTAGAACTAAAGAAATCAGGTACTCTTTTATTTCTAGGACAATTTGATGTTGTCAAGGTATCAGTTATTACCAGTTTTGCCTATGGATTCAATGCAATTGTAATCAAAATTTAAGCTATTTTTTGTATATCAAATGACAGCAAAGTTTATATTGAGAGCCAAAATATCTAGAACAGCCATAAAATATTAACTGACACTATTTTACTTTAATACAAAGTCACAATATTCAAGAGAGTGGTATTTGTAAAATAATAAAAAAGTGTAGAAATAATCTTTTCAACAATGGTATGTAGAACAAGTGGTAATCCATGTGCAAAAAACCGAAGCTGGACACAGAATTTAAATTTCAATAAAATTAACTCAAATGGAAATTATCTAGGAGATAACACCTTAGAAGTCCTACATGACTTTGATATAGAAATTTATTGTTTGATAAAACACAAAAGATGTAATCTACAAAGGAAATACATGATGACCTAATCATCACTAAAATTTAAATGGATTGGCCCTGTGAAAGACCATTTCAAGAGAATGAAAAGATAAGCCATAGACCAGGAGGTTTTATTTGTAGAAGACCTGTCTGAAAAGGACTGTTACCCAAAAGACATTAAGAAAACGATGTGCTTTAAACATGTGCGAAAGACAATATCCAAGTGGCAAACAAGCAGATGAAAAGATGTTCTAAGTCTTACATCATCAGGGAAATGCAAAATTAAACAATGAGATAGCAGCACAGTGTGAGCTTCATATCAAAAAAGGAGCTGAAAATTTGAATCCATACAAAAACATGTATATGGGTGTTTATAGCAACTTTATTCATAATTGCCAAAGCTTGGAAACAACCAATAGGCCCTTCAGTAGGTGAATGGACAGACTGTGCTACATTTAGACAATGAAAGATTATTCAGTGTAAAAAGAAATGAGCCAGGAAAAGTCAAACGGAAACTTAAGTACATTTTAGTAGTGTATATGTATTATATATATGATTACAGCTATATGAAATGCGGCAAAAGGCAAAACAGTACAGACATTTACAAAATGAGTGGTTGCTAGAGGTTTAGGGAAGTATAAGACAGGGATTAAAACAAGAACAAATGATTCTAGAGCAGTGAAACAGTTCTGTAGGAAACTACAAAGATGGATATAGCCATGGTCCAAACCCAAAGAATATACAACACCAGTGGTAAACCTTAATGGAAACTATGGACTCTGGGTGAAGATGTATAATGTGCGTACCTCAGTAGTAACAAATGCACCACTATGATCGAGAATGATCATAATGGGCAATTATGCATATGTGAGGGCAGGTAATTTACAAGATATCTATGTGCTTCTCAGTTTTGCTAAAAGCCTAAAAACTGCACATAAAAGACTAAGTTTAAAGAACAATCTTGGCCGGCACCATGGCTCACTTGGTTAATCCTCCGCCTACATCGCATATGGGCGCCAGGTTCTAGTCCCAGTTGCTCCTCTTCCAGTCTAGCTCTCTGCTGTGGCCCGGGAAGGTAGTGGAGGACGGCCCAAGTGCTTGGGCACCCGCACCCGTGTGGGAGATCTGGAGGAAGCACCTGTCTCCTGGCTTCGGATCGGCATAGTTCCGGCCAGAGCGGCCATTTGGAGGGGTGAACCAATGGAAGGAAGATCTTTCTGTCTCTCTCTCTCTCTCACTGTCTAACTGTCAAATAAAACAACAACAATTTTTCTCTTCTCTCCAAGATCATGGGCCATAGTTCCTCACTGTATGACTTTTTTTTAATTGACTTACCTATGAATCTTTAAAATCCATTGCATCCTTTTTATTTACTTTCCCTATTTTTTATAGAAATGTCAATCGAAACCACTTAATCTACTGACACAAGGATAATTCTTCATATTTGCATATATTGTCACTTTTTAAATATTTATTTATTTGAAAGAGTTATGCAGAGAGAATCTTCCATCCACTGGTTCACTCCCTAACTGGCCACTTTGGCTGGTGCTGCGCCAATCTGGAGCGAGGAGCTTCTTCCAGGTCTCCCAGGTGGGCGCAGGGGTCCAAGGAGTTGGGCCATTTTTCATTGCTTTCCCAGGTCATAGCAGAGAGCTAGATTGCAAACAGAGCAGCTGGGACTTGAACCAGCACCCACATGGGATTCTGGCACTACAGGAAGCGGCCCTACCAGCCACACCACAG